AATCCTCGCCTGCATTGGTCTAACAAATAATAATTCATATTTCCAAAAATTTAGAAGCTATGAGATTAAAGATATATTGAAAACCTTTTTCTGAATAGTTTGTATTCATCTGTTCTTGCTCCTTACCTCCGTTTTCATTTCCTGCTTTATCCAATTATTTGATATATTGTGTAAGGTGTTAGTGTAAGAGAGCAGATGTATATCAGAAGATAATTTAAAATGCATCCAGTGAATACATGTCTATTATCTTTTAAGGTGAAGTAAGTTTGTTTCTGTTTTTGCATTTTAATAATAATACCTTTTGTTCATTATTAGTCACTGTGCTAGAAACTGTTTGTTGTTTTATTAATATTTTATTACCGTAAAGAAGACACACTTATAGTAAAAGTTGCAAGCAGTACAGAAAGTAAAATGTGAAAGTCTCCATCCTTCCAAATGGCCCAGTCCAACTCTCCAGCAGGAAACGTTAGCATTTTCTTATGTCCTTCTGGAAATTATCCGTGTTATATCCTAACCATATGTGTATATCTCCCCTGCTTTTTTAACAAAATGGATTCATACCATATAGGCTGTTCTGCAGCTAGGTTTTACTTACACGTAAAGATGTACTTTGGACTTCTTTCCATACCAATAATCTTGATCTAACTCATTTTTTTTATTGTGCCAAATACCCAATGTATGGATATGATAGAATTTAAGTCCCCTATTGATAATTTAGATTGTTTGCAGTTTTCATTTGTACAGACAGTGGTGCAGTCAACATCTTTATCCATACATTTGTCTTTACATGTTGTTCAAATCTATCCAAAGGATAAATTCCTAGTAGAATTGTGGGTCAAAGGATGAGGGTATTTTAAATTTTGATTGGTAGCGCCATGTTGCTTTCTTAGAAGGTTGCATCAATCTGCATTTCAAACAAATTTAATTGTAAGAAGAACCAAGACTTAGAAACCCTAAGAGTGTAAGTAACTTGGCCCAGTCTCAAAGTTAGTAACTAGTAGAGTCAACTTTCAAACTCAGACCTATCTGTGCTATTTCTTCTAAGCTACAGATATCTCAGCTGCCATTTTAAAACATAATTTTGGCTTCCAAACTAGAAAGTATCATTCCGTGTTTTTTTATATTCCCATCATTTGATCAAGCAATAATGATAATTCTATTATAAATACATAGCCCTATATGGTTTTCAAAACATTTTTACATTCACATAGTAATCTTATGAGATAGACATTGATTATTATCCTGATTTATACATGTAAATGAGGCTCAAAGAAGAAAACCTTAAATTTTAAAAAATGTCATCAAAAGATGGTCCTTGGCCAAAGGCCTTGTAGCCCCCAAACTGCTAAAAGCATTCAGAACATAAAAATGCTAGTAGAAAATGTGAAATAGGGGGTGTGAGATTAGTGGCTTTGAATGTATTGATTGGCCTATTATATTCATGAATAACAGGAAATACACTAAAATATCTGGCCATGGGGCCCCATCACACCTCAAGCCAGTGCCTCAAGAATAGCTTTCTTTTGGCAGCCCCTGTGTGATATGGCCCTGGGGAAAACAGCGATTTGGACATAGCTGTCTTTTAAAGTTGTTCATTATATTTGATCCAAAACTTATTTTAAACCTCTGCCATAAATACTTTTATCACTGCGTTTATAATCACATAGCGTTACATTTATCACAATAGTTCCTTTTTATGATATTATCTCTTCCTCTATCTCATTTTCTTTCCTGTTTTCTCTATCCTAGGCTCAGACCAAATTTTTTTCTGATTTGTCTCAGTTCTAAAGAAATAAGATCTTTCTCTGTATGGCCTTAGGGTCAACTCTTGACTTCAGATTGAAACTTTGCTGTTCTCCTGGTCACCTAAATTCCTACACAAATACATCCACTGAACTTAATTCATAGTCATTTCTTAGAACAATTTTTTTCTGTTTTTGCTTTTTATTATAATTCACAACTTGTTTATAAAGTCAATTTAATTGTTCCCATTTTATGATTAAAGAAACTGAATCATAGAAAGCCCATGTGACTTACTTCAAATACAAGCCAAAGTCAGAGTTCAAATTATTCTTTACTATTCACTAGTTCCTACCTCATTACAAGAAGTCTCCAAGTTACGAAAGAGGTTGTGTTCCAAAAATTCATTTGTAAGTCAGTTATTTGGCATTTGAACTTCGTTTTACCACAGCGGGGGAAAAATGTTGTAAACGGTGATTAGGTCCCTCGGCTGGCCTGCAAAAATCTATTTAACTCTTATGGAACTACAAAAGGATGCATTTGCAATAACAATTGGAGAGAATGATAGTTGTAATTCAGGTTACAAAGAAAAAGAAAAATATTTTTCCTGAGGAAAAGCAGATTCAATTAGAAGATAGGGAAACTGATGAAATTGTAGGGAGTCTAGAAGGGATTACGGGGCACCTTAGAAGGATGTTAGAGGTTAGAGGCTTCTGTCTGAAGCCCAGTTTCACTTGAAAACTTTGAGGATTTTTGTTGTTGTTAGATTCCTCTCACTAGCATAACTCACCCAACAGCTGTGATTAGAGCCAACAGGATTGATTGAACTAAATACTTGTAAAAACATAGACTATCTGAGGTGATATTAACCAACTTGGGATAGTAAAAACAAACCAACAAACCAGAAAAAGTCTTCCTTCCATCCTCCTGATGGAAAGAAAGGTCAGGAGTGGGTGTTGATTTTCCCATTCAGCCCAGCAGATCCCATCAGCCCAGGTAGCTTGGCTGAGGTCTAGAGAGAAGGCTGGAGAACCTGGGTCAATGGTGGAGGTGAGAGAGGGCGTGTGACTTTGGTGATTTTTGTGGAGTATTTGTACAATGAGAGTTTCTAATTCTGGGAAATGACTGCATTTATCTCATCTAGTGACTGCTGCTTACATTAGCTAGACTGTCTTTCCCTTCAGCATGTAAATAAACATCTTAAATTTCAATTAACTTTTAAAAAAGTCTAGCACCTCTTTAGATGGCCTCTAATTTATATGTTTTATTGTTTTCAAAACATTTGCACACAACTTTTTCTTTTGTGAACAACAAAAGGGAGGATATATTTTTCAGTAAACGGAAGCTTAAGTGATGCTGAGATGGCACATTAAGAAAGTGATGAAAGGAAGATTAGAGTTTGTGCCTTCTGGGTCAGATTAGGGCTCTTACCAGGATGCCTACCCTGCCTTCCCACTAGGTGGTTAGTATATTTACCTACCATTGCTTTGTGTTGAGTATATTATTTGAATATTTTATAGTGGTATTTATACCCAGGAGTGATTTAATGAAGGAGAGAGCAACTATATTTACCACAACAATTCTAAATCCTTCTGAATGGTTATTATAAAAGGAAGTTGGGATTGGCACACTGTTTTCAAAAATGATGCTAAGGCTGATGAGAGAAATAACGTCTACTTGATTTTATATATGTTTTGATATTTATAAATGCTTTGTCTTTTCACTAAAACAATTCATGAAGAAATTTTTTAATGTCCACATTAATTCTTCCGTTTCTTATAGCCTTGATGTTTATATAACTAAATGTGTGGGGAGGGGGGAGTATGTGTGTGGGGAGGTGTGTGTGTTTGAAGATTTTTATCTGAAAGGTAAATAAATTAATAATACTAAATTTGTATCCTAGTACCATGAATATCTTTTGAATATCAGTATTCAGATTGGAACTTTAAGCCTTATTCTGGCATTCTCTGCTCAGAAATGCCCTTGTTGAGTATTTTATATATTGGGTGAAAACATGCATAGGAATCTTCCTCGTGGATGACCCAGGTTTGTCAGGTTAGAGTACCATGTACTCAGACTGAAAAGAGATAACCTCTTCTTGTACTTCTGTCTGCCAGAGGTGGGGAGAGACTAGAGAGAGATTTCTTCAGAGGCTGTTTTGTCTACTTAGAAGAATGCCATGCCAGAAGGGTTAGTGAGCCAAAATATTGTTTTCTTCTTTTCTTGTTAGCTTTCACGTGTAGGTTAAATAGAACAATAGCATTTGATGACCCATTTTTGTTACTGAAAATTTCCAGATTTTATGCATATGTTGGTCAGAGGGTGGCGAGTACACGAGGGGTGGGGGAGGAGGTTGTCTGTTTTTACTTTTGTTTGTTGACTGGACAGAAACATGCTACTGGTAATTTAAGCATTAATTTTTCCTTTATATTGAAGGCCTAGACCCTTTGGTGGAAGGAAAAAAGTTAAGAACAAAAATCTCATTTGAAGCAAATCTCATCTATAGTATTATTTTTCTCATACGCAAGCAATTCTACCTTTAGTATATAACATAGAAAACAAATTAATAAGTTCATGGCAACTTACATGGCATGTTTGTTCATTATTTTTTTTTGCACTATATTCATTGGTTTAGGGGATAAAACTTTTGTGTCTGATATCTTGGTTGCCACAATTCTTAGTTTTTATTTTCTTTTGTTTATCCTTATTCTAGGACCTGAGTAGCTTAGGGAAAAATCATATTTTTCTGACATTTTTCTAAGACATAAGACGTTCTTAAGATGATTTACATTGTTTTAACCTACACAACTAGTTGCCCTCCACGTGACCCTTCATTTTTCTCGTTACTCCTATATCAGAACACCCCATGAATTGTTGAAAAGTTGAATGATGATATTGGAATCCTCTCTCTCTTCTTCCCCCTCCCTGCCCCCATCCTAAAATATTCTGATGCTTAACTGATACTTGCACATCTGGGACTGGGAGAGAAGAAAGGCACTGAAAGTAGAGGTGGGAAAAAGTAGTCAGTAAGGATAGGAGAGGGTTCTCAAGGTACAGAAGTAGCTGGGAGGAAAAAAGAGGAGTGCTAGTGTGTTGGCTGGTTCTGTTGCAGGTGCTGCTGGGTTTCCTCCGCTCTCTCACCACTCCTGCAAGAACCCTGGTTTTCAAAGAGCTATTTTTAAACATCTTTCCTATCTTTTCTGCTATAGTCTAGCCTGCCTGACTATAAATGGATGATTTTATATCATTTTCTTTCTTAGGGTCAAGAAAGTGGAGCATGGCTATGAGCAATGGCAACAACGATTTTGTGGTTCTGAGCAATGGCAGCATTGCAAACAGTGCTACCAACCCTAGTCCCCTCACCCCCTGTGATGGAGACCTTGCAGTCCAGCAGCTCACACCCAAAGAAGCACCAAGAACAAAAGTGAGTCCAAACGGATGCCTGCAAGTTAATGGCACAGTTAAATCATCCTTTCTGCCTTTAGACAACCAAAGAACGCCTCAGATGTTATCCCAATGCTGCCATCCTTGCCTATACCATCACCCTTTGACTAGCCATAACGGTCACCAAGAGTGCCATCCTGAGGCTGGCTCCACAGCACCTTCTGCTTTGGCCTCGTGTTGCATGCAGCCACACTCAGAGTATTCTGCATCTCTTTGTCCAAACCATTCACCTGTGTATCAGACTACGTGCTGTCTTCAGCCCTCTCCATCCTTCTGCCTGCATCATCCATGGCCTGACCATTTTCAGCATCAGCCTGTGCAACAGCACATAGCCAACAGAAGGTGAGTGGTCCGAAAGTTTTACTGGCCTGTAGCGTTCAACGAATTCTACACGACTGTGACTGCTTGTGTTGAGTTCCCCAAAAGAAGGAGAGAGAGATGTGCCAGAGAAAGAAAACCAATGAAAATGCATATATTGTGAATTGTGTGAAGCCTACTAAAATACAAATGAAATAACATTATATCTGCTTTATCCATTGACTTCTTAGTCAACTAAACCCTTCCTTCCTTCTTCCTTGTCTTTGAGCTGGTTAGTGTCCCTACTAGGCCCGAGTTATAAAGTTCAGTACAAGGTTTTATTGTTAGTAATATCTGTTATTAAACAGGGAAGATATATCTGTGATGAGGCTGCCTAAATAGGAGTCTTTTATTTGCTATTACATTCGTCCCTTGTATCTGGATCTGTGGGGGATTGGTTCCAGGACACTCCTGGGTACCAAAATCTGTGGATGCTCAAGTCCTGTATATAAAATGGCATAGTATTTGCATATAACCTATGCACATCTTCCCATATACTTTAAATCATCTCTAGATTATTTGTAATATCTAATACAATGTAAATGCTGTGTAAATAGTTGTTATACTGTATTATTTAGGGAATAATGACAAGAAAAAAAGGTCTGTACGTGTTCGGTACAGACACAACCATTGTAGGCCTTTCCACTGGTTGGTTGAATCCGTGGATGCAGAACCCATGGAGGACAGACTGTAGTGCTAGTGATCAACCTTTATGAAGAAGAAGTACAAAACCAGTTGCTTCCTTATGGCAGTACTCACAATTTCTATTCATCTGTTTTGGGTGACTATGTAATATGTTGAGATCAGACGAAAGCAACAATCCCTTTCATAGCAGATGAAACCAATAAATCTGCAGCGTAGGATTTTAAAAAATATTTTTTGTAAAGCATTTTCAGATCTGGTAGATTGAAAAGTTCTACAAAAATGTCAGTCACTGCCAGTTCTCTCCATCTCAGCCCATAGCTTCTCTTATAGGTGCTTTTCAGCTATTTTTTCCATGAGAATGTTGTCACATGCAGTGCAGATGAGCAATGGTAATATATTTTATAAAACAGTAAGTACTTTGTAGAGACCACATATTATTTCACATTTTTAGGTAACAAAAAATTTTAAAAGAGCTAGAAGAGAGCATTCTTTTTTAAAAATTAGGGTATAACTTACATACATAGAAATGCACAAATTTTAAGTGTACAGCTTGATCGGTTTTGACAATTGTATACACTAGTGTAATGCACACCTTGGCCAGATGGAGAACATTTCTGTCACCCCAGAAAGTTCCCTCATGCTGCTTCTTAGTCATTCCTTCTCTCTTCACCAGAAGCAATCACTGTTCTGAGTTCTGTTACCATAGATTTATTTTGCCTGCTCTAAAACATCATATGAATGCAATCATACGGTATGTACTCTGTGTCTGGTAATTTTGACCCAGCCTAACGTTTTTGAGATGCATTTCATTGTTATGTGTATTAGTTTCCCTTTTTATTGCTGAGTAGTAATCCATTGTATGCATATAGCCAATTCACTTTTAAGTAAAGTACAAACTTCCAGTTATAAAATAAATAAGTCCTGGGGATGTAATGTACAGCTGGTGACTATAGTTAACCATACTGTATTATATATTTGAAAGTTGCTAAGAGAGGAGATCTTAAAAGTTCTCATCATAAGAAAAAAATTTTTGTAACTGTGTGTGATGATAGATATTAACTAGACTTATTGTTATTTCACAATATATACACATATTGAATCATTACGTTGTATATCTCAAACTAATATAGTGTTATATGTCAATTATACCTCAATAAAACAGTCAGATCCAGACAGGGATTAAGTAATAAATACTTTTCACCTTTATCAGGTCTTAGATGCTGTTGAGATAATCCGGTTTCACTCTTTTACAAAGAGAGGACACGAAGGTGGAGGGAAAGTTCTCTGCAGTGTGTTTCTACAGTTGCTGAATACATTTTCCATATCAAATGTGAGAGTCTTTTACTTATAGAACTATGATAAGAACATTCACCAAAGCCATTTCTTAGAAGATTTGTCCTGATAGCATTGGGCTGTATGACCAGTTTTAGACTCTTTCTACTTTGAATTAAACTGTGTAAACAGTTGATTTTAAAATTATTTTGTCATAGGGCCAGCCCCGTGGCTTAGCGGTTAAGTGCGCACGCTCCACTGCTGGTGGCCCGGGTTCGGATCCCGGGCGCGCACCGACGCACCGCTTCTCCGGCCATGCTGAGGCCGTGTCCCACATACAGCAACTAGAAGGATGTGCAGCTATGACATACAACTATCTACTGGGGCTTTGGGGGAAAAAAATAAATAAATAAAATTATAAAATTATATTGTCATAAATATTGAGATTTTTGAATCATAAATTATATGGTTGCAGAATATGAGATGAGATAGACAGTTCTACATTTCAAAGCTGATTGCTCCTTTAAAAAACTTCAGAAAATATTAAAACTATGGGCAAGTAACCAGTTCTTTCAATATGGCAGGCATGTCAATATTTTCAGAACTTTGGCTTAACATTTCTCAATGACCTAATTTTAAAAGAATGAGAGTCCTGTGTACACACAACTTTAAATAGAATGACGTTAAAAAACAAACTGATAAAAATGCCATATTTGTCCATCAAGAAAAGTTGCAGAAGAAACTGGAATATTATGTGAGAAATTTTTCATATTTAGAATTTTATCTCAAGAATTTGAGCCTTTGGTCAACTGTTTGTAATAGACATAGACTCTTTTAAATATGCCTACAAAGGAATGGTATGTGTCCAGTTGTGTATATTACATACTTTATTGTAAAATGCATGCTTCCAGAATTACTTCCCTAGTTTCTACATTTATTTATGTATATTATCTATGATATTTACTGAGTACTTATATGTGCCAGACACCAAAGATGTAATTCTAAACAAGATAAGACTTTTTTTGCCTTCCTAGAGCTGTAAGCTGGTAGGAAGGATGCCAGAAAAGCAAACAGGCAGCTACAGTCTTGTGATAAGTGCTACCAAGAAGGGACATGTGGGCTGAAGATGAATAGAAGTTACAAATGGAGAAGGAGTTGTCTTGCAGACGGCGGGAACAGATTGTACAAAGACTTATAAGGTAGTGTGAGCCCAGCTCCAGCACGGTTCAGTATGGCTAGACCCTGGAGGAAGAGAGAATGGTAGCAAGAGGAGAGGTATCCTGGGACCACATCCTGAGGGGCTTTGTAGATCACATTAAGGAGATCTCTAGATTTTATCCTGAGGCCAACGGGGAGGTATTATAGATTTGTCTGTGTGTGTGTGTGTGTGTGTGTGTGTGTGATTTTTTTTATTATGGAAAAATATGCATAACAGAAAATTTATCATTTTAACTATTTTTATGTGTACAGTTCAGTAACATTAAGTATATTCACATTGTTGTGCAACCATCACCACCATCCATCTCCAGAACATTCTTCATCTTCCCAGGCTGAAACTCCATACCCATTAAACAATAACTCCCCATTCCTCCCTCCCCCAGCGCCTGGCAACCACCGTTCTACTTTCTGTCTCCATGAATTTGACTACTCTAGAGACCTCATATAAGTAGAATGAATCACACAGTATTTGTCCTTTTGTGACTGGCTGATTTCACTTAGCATAATGTCTTCAAGGTTCATCCAAGTCATAGTGTGTGTCAGAATTTCCTCCCTTTTTAAGGCTGAATAATATCCCATTGTACATATATATATTCATATATATAGACACACACCACACTGTGTTTATCCATTCATCTGTCAGTGGACACTTGGTTTCTTCCACCTTTTGGCTATTGTGGATAATGTTGCTATAAACATGAGTATACAAATATCTGTTTGAGTTCCTTCTTTCACTTCTTTTGGGTGTATACCCAGAAGTGCAATTAGTAGATCATAAGGTAATTCTATGTTTAACTTTTTCAGGAACTATCAAACTGTTTCCCAGCTGCTGTACTATTTTACCTTCCCACCAGCAGTGCACATCCGTGCTAACACGTGTTCTTTTCTGTTGTAGTTTTTATTTTTCTTTATAATAGGCATCCTAATGGGTGTGACATTACAGGTTTTGAAGCAGAAAAGAAACACTATCAGATTCTCGTTTTAGAGAGGTCCATAATCTGCATTGTGGAGAGTAGATTGAACCGGGTCAGGACTGTTGTAGAGAGGAAGACTATTAAAAGGCTTGTTGCGGTAATTCAGGTGAGAGATGGTGGTGACTTGAACCAGGATTTAGAAATAATTTCACGCTAGAGAGATTTACAAGGTAGAATCTACTAGATCTGGTGAACAATTGGATATGGGAGAGGAAGGGAAGAAGAATCACAACTGATTTTCAGTTTCCTGGCTTGAGCAACTGGGTGGGTAGATGGTAATGCCAGTCACTAAAATGGGGAAGATAGGAGAAGAGCTCTAAGCAAGCCGAGCTCTGAGGCATTGAGCTTCCGGGAGTGGGGGACAGTACCAGTGAAAGAGTGAAATCTTTTGGGCTTTCTTGAAAGAGTGAGGATGCTGGGTAATATATGACAATTACACTGAGGATAACAATACTATTGGGTTATCTTAGAATGAATACTGAAGCATTTGGACTCAGCCCAGCATGTATTTATTTGCAGAATTGTGCTGTGGGCAAGGCAGGGAGCCAGGTGCTGTGTCTCTCTCTCCTTCCCAAACCAGTGCGAGATCCACAGAAACAAATGTGGACATGGATATAGCCACAATGTAAGGGAGAGCAGGACGGTTTAGGATTGTCTACACAGGATGTCCTTGCTAAGAAACTCTGAAAATGAGGATATCATATGATGCTTCACTGCCTTTTGTTATTCTCCCCAACACTTTTAGGAAACTTATTAGAACAAAGGTTCTAGAGGCTGATCTCTCCCAGGAAGGTTAACTCTCTAAATCTTTTTAGTTTCCTTTTGTGATTTATTGCATGTTGCTTTTTTAAGTTGATAATCTCAAATACTTAATGA